TACGGCAGCATTAGGAAACTCCACAGACCTAAATGTCTATCTGCAGAGAACCAGCTGAGCAAATGCAGTGCAATACTGTGCAGCCTTCAAAGGCATGGGCCTCTATACATACTGACTTGCAAGTCATTTCGAGGAACACTGTGTAGTGAGAAAAAAAACCGCAGTGTACAAGAAGAGTGTAGATCGCATGTTATCTGTATCAAAAGGAGGCACAATTTAAAATCCACATACATCCTCATACGTGCATTGGTGAACCCTGGAAAGATACACCAGAACCTGGCACTGTTATTTAATATTTATTGCCACCAGGGGAGGAGAAAGTGTTACAAGAAGTTCCAACGACAGAGATGCTCATTTCTCATTGTATCCTCTCTCAGGCTTTTTGGTTTTTGGTGTGGGTGGTTGTTGTTGTTGTTGTTTTAATCATGTACAAGTATTACCTTAAGAAAGAAAAAAACTGAAAAGGGAGTGAGCTCTGCTCAGACTTAAATGAGTTGTTAGGGTTTTCATCTTCTCAATGAGTATTGGCTTCCCCCCTTTCCACAGTTCTGTGTATTGTGTACTGTCACATGTCTTTTCTCTTGTGATCTTGCTTGACAACCCCGACAGGTTATCGTTATCCCCGGCCCACAGGTGCGGCGCTGAGGCTCAGAGAGGCTCACTGACCAAACTGCACAGCTGGTAAGTTTTGCAGCTGGATTTTAGAGCCTGGTCTTCTGGTTCCAGGGCTCTCTCCTCCAGCCTCTGCAACTTGGTGCTGCCAGTTCCAAGAGCCGCCGTAGGGGCAGGCGTAACCCTCGGAGGCTACTACCCGGAGCTGTCAGATGGGGATCTCAGCCCTCCCTGGGCCTTCGCGTCCCTCTCCCAGACCTTGGAGTTGAAGAGAAGGTCAGGCTCCGGAGGGGGCCCTGCCTACACTGCCTTCTAGAGGCAGCCCACCTTCTCGGGTTACATCCCGCAGCAAAGTTCCTTCCAGGCCCTCGGGGAGAGGCGGCGGCTAGGACTAGCCGTCACCACGCCTCTGATTGTTCTCTCTGGTGAGCTCATGATGCAGTGGGCCCGACGCTGACACCTGCTTTCCTCAGGCAGGGTTGAAACCCTAGAGAGGACGGGCCTCTGCGGAGTATGACATCTTGATCAAATAAAGGCTGCCCTGAGATTTCTCGTGCCTTCGAGCTCGGGGCCCCAGATGGAGGGGGTTTCCCCTGTCTGACGGCCACGCACACCGTCAGGCGCGCAAATCCACCTTCCCGGGCCTCACTTTCTGGTAAGACAGAGATCTCACTCTTCTGTTGCATGGACAGGTGCGGCTGGGAGCACTGTTTAAATACAGCCGAAATTTCAGCTTTCATGGGATCTCAAGGCATTAAAAAAAAAAAAAAAAAAGAGTAATTAATGAAGTTCCGCCTCCCAGAAAAAGCAAGGATTATCGTCTTCATTTTATAAATAGATCAAAGGTCACACAATCAATGGCAGATGTAGGAAACAGATGTAAGAATTCTGCTTTTGTCCCTGGCTACAGCCACTCAATCCCACCCCTGGTATCACTGACAGACCTCCTTTCTGCTCTCTGACTTCTGGCCAAAGACGTGGAATTGGCCTTTATATGTTTCCACTTAAAGGTTTGAATTCTATGTATGGTTCATATGCCTTTGATATGTCTGAAATGTATAAAAGAGAAGGAGAAGAATGATATTTGATGCTTTTCAGAGATCGTGTTGGGACTGAGCCTTATATAATGGGTCAAATGCCAATAAAGGAAAAAAAAAAAAAACCCCGCTCACCAGATCTTCAGGAAGTTCACTTTTATTCTCTCTCTGAAAGAATTTGGTCTGTTAAAATGAAACAGAGTGTATCTTTAGTCACCCAAATGATTCTTGTGGGAACGATGGAAGTTACCACTTATTGAGCACTAACTGTGTACTAAGCACTGCTCTTCTTACTGGCATACAGTATACCTTGTGATTTTCACAGACACCCAAGGAGGTTCATTTTATAGATAATATATAACTGGGTTATATATATAGTAATATAACTGGAGTTATATTACTCGTTCATTTTATAGATAATATATAACTGGGCTTAGAGATAAAAAGATAGGTTGAGGAGAAAGGAAAGAGAAGGCTCAAATAAAATTAATCAAGCAAAAATGATTGGACATATCCTCTGTGCCAGAAGTGTTGTGTTGTGATAGAGGCAAAGATGCAGATACAAAGATGAGGAAAATAGCACCGGATTCCTGCTCTTGAGGAATTTAGGGCCTTGGGAGGCATTGAGGGTGAGGTCTGAGCACAAGCATACAAAAAGACAAATAATGTCAATGCAATTCAGTCCAGAAGTATTTATTGAGTTGCTGGTAGGTGTTAGACACTGCATTAGTCAGAGGGGATGGTCCCTCTGCTCCTGGGGCTTATAGTCTAGTGGGAAAGTCGGACATTAATCAAATAATTCCACAGATTTAAACTGTGAGTGGAGTAAAAGACATCAGATGGGCTACAGCCTGACAAAGGATTAGTATCCAGAACATATAAAGAGCTCCTACACATAATAAGAGATAATCCAATAGAAGCACTGTCAAACCAAGGGCAATTTTTAAAAGATGAAAGGCAAATGGCCAATAAACAAATGAAAGTATGCTTAGTCTCTCTTGTAAACAGGGGATTGCAAATTAAAACATTGAAATACCGCTTCACACCCATTGGCTTGGCAAAAATTTAAAGTCTGACATTACCAAGTGTTGTTGAGGATGCCAAGCACGGGAACTCTTACTTACATATTGCTATCAAAGTGTAAATTGGTACGACCACTTTGAAAAACTGTTCAGCCAGGCTGAGTGAAGCTGCCATTTCACATGACCTGGGTCCAGCAATTTCACACACCAGTATCTGCCCATGGCTCACTTTCACGCAAGGGGATGGGCATAAAAAACATTAATTATAGCATTGTTTCTAACAACACAAAATGTGAAAATAAGCTACACGTCCTTCAGAAAGAGATGGGTAAATAGAGTGTGGTGAACTCATACAATGGGACCCGAATTAGCAGTGAAAATGTACGATCTAGAACTACATGTAGCAATGTGAATATATTTTCAAATCATAAACGCTGAGTGAAAAAAAGCAAGTAGTACAATGATATATTCAGTATAATGCCACTTCCCCAAAGTTTATAAACATGCCAAACAATTCTATGAAGTGTTTATAGGCACAAACAAATGTAGTAAAAATGCAAAAGCGCGTATAGGAATAATACATCCCAAAAGCAGAAGAGTGATTAGTTACCTTAGAAGAGGGACAGGCATGGGTTCAAAGGGCCCTATCTAGATCTAAAGATGTTTTATGTTCTTAAAAAAAAAGATTTGAAGAAATTAGGGCAAATGCTAAGCTTTGGCAAAGGTTGGAGGGGCAGGGGAAGGGTGCAGAATAAACAGGTTTGATGATATTACTCTCCTGTAGTTTTTTATATGTTTGATCTATCCAAGAAGGATTGGATTGAATTGGAGGTGGGGCTAGGGGAGGGGTCAGGGAAGCTGCCTCTGAGGACATGATGCTCACTTAGGATGAGAGCCAAAAATTGAGTAGGTGAGGAAGGGCAGAAAGGTGTACCGGGCAGAGAGAACAAGCTGTGCAAAGACCCTGGGGTCGGAGGGTGTGCATAGAGACTGGGAACTGAGACCCCACTGTGGCCAGAGCAGAGGGAAAAGGGGCTGGAGTTGGAGGTGATGGGGGTGGGGGGTGTGCACAGACCATGCAGGGCCTCATAGGCCATCTTGAAGGTCAGGTCTTTACCCTATGAGGAAAGCAGCAGAGATGGGAAGCTTTGGGACCCAGAGAGACTTCTCTTCCATAGATAGCAGAACAGGGAAGGCATTCCTGTCAGAGGTGACTCATATCTTGAGTTGTGGAGAATGAGTAAGAGGAAGCCAATTGGGGAAGGAGAAGGAGGGAGTGAGGTGCAAATTCCCTGGAGAGGACCCAACAGTAATAAAGACATTGAGGACCTTCCATAGCATGATCCCACCTGGGTCCTATACCCAGGACTAGCTCAGAAGGTGCTCAAAAATGGCAGACCAGAGTGTTCATGAAGACAGAGAGTGTCCATGAAGGCAGCCAGCCTCAAGCCGAGAGAGGCATGGCCAGACATGGGTTGTAGGGGGCTGGCTCTAGCAACGTGTGGAGAATGGATCTGAAGGAGGCTGGGGTGCAGACAAGGAGATCTTTGAGAGGAATATGTTAATAGCCTAACCCAGGACAGATGGAACTAAGAAGCCATCCTGGAAGAAGTGGAGAGTGCCCGAAGAGGTATTTAGGAGGGAAGGCGAGACATCTAGGACGATGAGTGGGTGGGAGCTCCACCGCCGACATGGGCAATAATGGGGGCAAGGCTCGGCAAGTCGGAGGTGCGGGCAGGGCAAGCCAAGTGGAACCATCCAGCGAGCAGCGGGATGGGTGCGCCGGGGTCCCCGCAAGCTGGGACTGGAAGCGCCTCCTGGGGGCGGCTGCTGACTACTCCCAGCAAGCCAGCTGGTCCAGAAGGAGGGTAGAGGAAGAAGTGAGCAGGTCTCTCGGGGACGACGAGGA